AACACAGTACATGTGATGATTACACACATCATCAATACAGGCAAATATCATGGCATCATAATTAATACACAAATATCATGATATTATCATAAGGTGCCTGATTACATTTAAACCAAGTATTTTTCTGCATATCTAAGCATATGTCAAGCTGTCTGTATCCTCCTAACTGGTGTTTATTTTATTTTATTTTATAAACGAAATATGCTTCTCTGCTAAAATCTGGGGGAAAATATTGAAAGGAATGTGAGTCTTATTCAGTATATTTAGTAATTGCTTGCTTTTCTAAAGTCTACCAACCTTGTCAGCAGGCATGGCAGCTAAGATAGTTTGACAAGCTGATCTAACTTGATTGATATCCAGCGGTGGACAAGTCCCCTGTAGCTCAGTTGGTAGAGCATGGCGCTTGCAACGCCAAGGATGTGGGTTCGTTTCCCATGGGGGGCCAGTATGAAAATGTATGCACTCACTAACTGTAAGTTGCTCTGGATAAGAGCGTCTGCTAAATGACTAAAATGTAAATGTAAGTACCCAATTGTCATACTTTAGTAATAGTAAAGATACCTTAATAGAAAATTACTCAAGTGAAAGTCACCCAGTAAAATAATACTTCAGTAGAAGTCAGAAAGGATTTGGTTTCTAAATTTACTTAAGTATTAAAAGTAAATATAATTGCTAAAATATACTTAAGTATCAAAAGTAAACGCTTCAAATTCCTTATATTAAGCAAATCATACAGACCGATGTTTATAGTATTTTTTAATTTACGGATAGCCAGGGGTACACTCCAACACTCACATAATTTACAAAAGAAGCATTTGTGTTTAGTGAGTCCGCCAGATCAGAGGCAGTAGGGATGACCAGGAATGTTCTCTTGATAAGTACGTGAATTGGACAATTTTCCTGTCCTGCTAAGCATTCGAAATGTAACGAGTACTTTTGGGTGTCAGGGGAAATGTATGGAGTAAAAAGTACATATTTTCTTTAGGAATGTAGTGAAGTAAAGGTTGATAGCCTGAAATGGCTTGGTAGTTACCCACTGGGCACAGGCGTCAATTCAACGTCTATTCCACGTTGATTCCACGTAATTTCATTGAAATTACGTGGAAACAACGTTGCTCCAACTAGTGTGTGTCCAGTGGGTAGTATTGAGGTTGGGAGACAGGGAACCTATCTAGCTGGCTAACTAAAGCCAACTTCATAAAATTGCTAGGTGGCTAGTATTACAGAGAAACAACAAAACATTTTAGTTTTATTTATTTATCAAGATGGAAGCAGTAGGCTAGAGTATCTAGCATCAACTGTGTTTGCCAGTCTGTTTGTGCTATCATGAAAACTCCTTGTCACTCGTTGTCAGGCCAGACCTGTTTGGCTTGACAACGACAGCAATGGAATTGGCAAGAGCACAAGCAGATCGTGGACCAGGTTCCTGTATTTCACCTTGTAGACCAAGAAGAGGAGCAGATATTGAGAAAAACACAGAGAAAAATACTGTATATCTGATGACGAGAACTACTCCTTCCTTTGACTCTCATTCTATAGTATACGGCCCCTGTATCATTTAGAGGTGAACCACTTGTGATGCTTGAACCTGAGAGACAGACGCTTGACACGATGGAGGTGATGGTGTGGTTTGACCTCTGCACTTTTACAGTTGCTTTAACTCCTATGGAAAAGACTGTGTTTGAGTACAGTGTATGATCGTGTTAGACCCCTTCCTCTAGCTCTCTGTGGCTAGTTTGTTTAGTTAGTAATCATTACACACACAATGGTCTGTACTTATGCCATCTCTCCAGATGACCATCTATAATATAATGTTTGTACAAGGTTCAGGAGCGTTCACTGGGGGCTTTATTCACTAATGAAGTAGATTTTATTGTAACACTAGCACAGCTGATATGTAGTAATGAATGGGCTAGATAGATAAATATGTGCACATCGACTCAGTGTTCTGTACATACACTAGTGACCGTAGTGAGTCATGGCGACAGAAATTATGAGTGACATCAAGCGGCAGTCCCTGACTCCTTGCCAAATGTGATTGGACTCTAAAGGAGATTGAACTGTACACTCACATTTTGCTCTTCTATCCTCGTGGGGACCTAAAATGTATTTATATTCAAAATCCTATTTCCCTAAACCTAACCCTAGCCCTAACCTTAATCCATAACCCTAACCCAAACCCAAACCGTAATCCTAATCCTAAACCTAACCTTAAAATAGCCTTTGTCCTCATGGGGATGTGGGAAATGTCCCCACGAGGAAGCATTTCCCTTGTTTTACTATCCTTGTGGTACTTTTGGGGATTTTCGGTCCCCACAAGGATAGAAGAGCCAACACACAAACACACCCACACAAATTGCCCTGTATTATGAAATAATATTATCATCCATCTGAGAACTCACACGTAACAATAAACTAATTATGACACGTCTTTAACAATATTTTACACTGCGCTTACTGTTTACAAACTGAAGGAAAGCAAGCGATTAAGAGAGAAAGAGATCACACATAGAGTACAATAGGTGCTTACTGTAGAATAATATATGAACTCATCTAATATCTGCCCTCCTTGCTCTCATTTAAGTAAATTTTGGGTGAGGCAGAGTGTAGATGGTTCCTCCATACAAACACCACCTGTTCTCCTCAATGCGTCTGAGACTTTTTCTGTGTATCTGTGTGTGTGTGTGTTCAGGAACAAGATAGTGATTCAGTGGTATACAGACAGTTAATTTTGAATGGTGCACCCATAGGTTAGCAGCTTCTAGCCCTTCACAAATGAACAACACATTGAGAGAAGGCTGAGGTTCCATCCTCCTGATCCTATATGTCTTTATCCTACGCCCTCCTCTTCTTGGGTTAAATCTATGTACAGGTCTACCTAATCTACTGTACATGTGGGAGAAAGTTCTCAACTGCCTCTGGCATAATGTTGCTAATTACAACGCCTGATGTCACCACTTAAAGAAAAAATCCACCCAAAACCACTAATTCCTATAATTTACTGTGTTAAATAACACTAATATGTGAGAACATCATTTTTTGTGAACAAATGTTTCATTTTGTCCTCATAATAAGGTCGGTAGAAACGTGAAAATCGTTGTGGAAATCTGTTGCAGCTCAAGTCGACTAGAAAACCCACAATGCAATGCTCTATCTATGGGCTGGCTGGCTAGCTAGCTAGCTAGCTAGTTAGGTAGCTAGCTAGCAAATGTAGCTTCACACAATAATACCAAAGTCAATATCAGCATGTGAAGTAGCTAGTTAGCTGTAAAATCCCCCCCCCACAAAATGCACTATCTCACCATGTTCAACCTGCAGATCGATGTGCCTCACAGAGTGGAGTCTGACATTCGCAATGTCCATGCAACCGCAACATGCAGTGCACCCTGGACTGAAGAGACAGACAAATAGGAGAAATGTGGTGGACCCTCTGTTAAATTAACAATTTCTCAAGGTAGGAATATCGCAAAAATATGATCAATGGCTCGTTCAAGAGAAGACAACCTCCATATTGAAATCTGACATGTATGATAGACATTTTCGCGATCTAAAAGTCGTATTCCTATTAACTTCCAGTGTAGTGAAAATGCAATGCTACACCATGCCGGACACATTTCTGCCTGCTTGAACGGCAATAATTCAGATACATAAGAAAACATGAAAGGACCCTGGAAATTGATATAACATCGCTCAGAAATACATAAAAACAATATAACATTCCAAATGGGTGAATCTTTCCTTTAATGGGCTATGAAATTAGTGGCTCACACACACCCTATCACGATGAGGCCTTCCAGCGAACAAACACACACACACACACACACACACAACCATGGATTCCCCATCTGTACACATTTAGAGAGATAACAACGTTGCCCTTGGACTGTGGTAGTGAAGAACACCCATCTCTCTACCAACCAAAACACTGCTGCTGTAGCTCCCTCCGTGATGCAATGCTGTTAATTCAGAAATCATCAGCGTCACTCTGACAGCATAGAACTGATGCTGAAACACAACTCATCCTGTTGAGTATCAACAAGATTGGCACCACGACAGCTTGGTTATGCTAGGAGCATATCGCCTTTAAGCCAACTAGTGCTGACAGCAGAAGAGAAAATGTCATACCAGATTATAAACTGTACACAGTATATGAACAGCCCATCTCGGAGACGGTGTGTATGTGAGTGTGTGTGTGTGTATGCTTGGCCGTGCTAGCATCTAAAGGTTGAGCCAAATATAAATCAGAGAGTAATGATCTTGATAAGTGCCTACAGACAAATGGTATTAACAAGGGGAAGTCTATGTACAACATCAAGATCGTTTGAAGTTAGAGAATCAATGATCAATGATCCTGGATGCAAAATTCAAAAGTCTCCAGCTTCAGTCAGAGGACATCTGACTTGGTGAGTAACATCTTTCCTTATCAATAAATAAGATGCTTTATCAAAGGTGTGCTTTCTCATATCCTGATCTCAAGACAGTACGAATCAATCCATGTCATCCAAACATGAGACCTCTTTTTCATCTTCTTCAATTCAATCTTTGTCTTTGTTTTCCAAGACGGATCTTGGCAGGTGTGCTCTAATACAGGGTTTCCCAAACTCGGTCCTGGGGCCCCACCTGGGTGCACGTTTAGGTTTTTGCCCAAGCACTACACAGCTGATTCAAATAATTAAAGATGATGAGTTGGTTATTTGAATCAGCTGTGTAGTCCTAGGGGCAAAAACCAAAACGTTCACCCGGGGGAGGGGGGGGACCCTGTTGTAAAGGACAGTATGAACCTCCTTGGTGTTTGGGCCGCTGTACAAGAGATTATAGAAGAATGGCTTAAATATGAGTAGTCCGTCTAACTCTTCCACACCATCCATCTGCTCAAGGAGACGACACACACAAGCAGCCCCACAGTCACCTCAGATCAACCGACTACTGTGGTGAGTTCATACCCGCACACACTCACACACACACCACACACACACCCACAACACACACAACACACACACACTCCTTCACACACTCAGATACTGGTCTGTAGCTCGCCATTGAGCAGCACGGCGTTGTGCATTTCCGCGGTGAAGTCGTTGACCATTCGCGTCCGCTCCATGCGGCTGTCGCTGCGCTCCGCCTCGTCCAATCCCGCCACCTTCTTTAAGCACAGAACATTCTGAAAGCTCTTCTTGAAGTTGTCCGACAGGAAGGCATACAGGATGGGGTTAGCACAGCTGTTGGCGTAGCCCAGCACCACCACGAACTCAAAGGTGCTCTTGAGGACGGGCGTGGTGTCGATGGTGCCAGTCACCGAGGTGACGTTGAACACGTAGAAGGGCAGCCAGCAGAGCACAAACATGGCCACTACGATGGACACCATCCTGGTCACCTTCCTCTCCGAACGCTTACGCTTAGTGGAGCCCACCCGCATGCCTGACGACTTCACCTATTGGAAAGGGAGAGAGGGTGATACTACCTTCTTAGATACCACAACTGTACCTATCTCTATGGTTACAGATAATAGGTAGATAGATAATAGGTTCAACTATATCAGAATGGAGAACTTCACCAAAGACGTCGTCAATAATAAAGATAAGTGAACTTGAAAATAAAACACCATGAACAGGGAGGAGGGGCTCACCTTGACGATGATGAGCAGGTAACAGAGGCAGATGACGATGAGCGGCAGGAAGAAACCCAGAAGGAAGGTGTAGAACATGAAGGCCGTCTGATAGGCCTCCTGAGGCTCCGGCCACACAATGGTACACGCCCACGCCTGGTTATTATTGGGCATCAGACCGCTGAAGATCATGATTGGCAGGTTGACCAGAAGGGACACTCCCCACACGGTCAGGTTGATGATCTTAGCCACGCGTGGCTTCCGCCACTTGGTGGACTTTATGGGGTGGACCACGGCCAGGTAGCGGTCGACACTCATGACCGTCAGGCAGAAGATGGAGGTGAACTGGTTGAGGGAGTCCACGGTCATGACCAGGCGGCAGAGCACGGCGCCGAAGGGCCAGTGGACCAGGGCCAGCTGCATGGCGATGAAGGGTAGACTCAGCATACAGAGGACGTCGGCCACGGCCAGGTTCAGGATGTAGATATTAGTCACCGTCTTCATCTTGGCGTAGCGCAGGATGACATAGATCACCAAGGTGTTGCCGGTCAGGCCCACGGCACACACCGTGAAGTAGACAAAGGTGATGACCACGGAGCTGGTCTTATCGAAGGCCTGGTGGGTCTCGTCCGGAGTGTCATTCCGGGACCCCAGGTCAGACTCGTTCCCTGGGAAAGTAGCTGTCGTAGTACAGGGGCTCGGGGATGGAGAGGTTGGGGGGCGACGGGAGGAGAGGCCAGGGATCCATGCTGACAGAGAGGAGGGCTGGGTTAGGTCTGTTTCAGGGTTGAGATAGAAGACACTGTTCTCACATCCCACCTGAGTGTACAGTACATAGAGAGAGAGAAAATGGAGACGGTGGGTGAGAACAGAGCAACTCAAGGATGAGGGTGAATACATTCCTTCAAAGCACCATGGTAACTGTTAGCCTGCTATATAATGGTTTACTCTATGGCTATGTATTTTACTCAACATTAAGTTACATAATAAAGCCTGGCCCTTTATTTATAGGCCCCCACACAATATAGGACTTGCAGGACTCAACACTCCTCCTGTAGGGATTTCTGTGTTTTCATTTGAATGTGTTGAATGGTTGGGACTTTACACCCTTGTGACACACTGATGACAAAATGTTGATCTGAGTTGAACAAACAGCCCCGAGCTGATGTGAAACCCTTTGAAAAACACCTATGGATTCTGTCCAGTAATGAAACTACTCTCTAATGCAAAGGTGTCTGTTTTAGGATAAAGACCAGACCATGCCAAAATAATTGTGTAATTTAATTTGTTTGTTGAGAGTTGATTAAAATGGAAAAACAAAACCCATGTGCAGAGAAAAGGTCATTTATTTCATGTTGTTATTTCTGTTGGGCATAAGGCTATCTGTGGATCTGGGTTTATTACGCAAACACAGGTCCTCTATTGGATTGGTGGTGATTAGCAGCTCGCACTGCATGGGAAACCTGTAGCGCTCTGGTCAGAGACAGCGGCAGCATTTTTTATGTTATAAAAAAAAAACCTTGCCAATAGACAAATGTTAGATAGTAAATACTATGATTTTATTATTAGATTACTCTTTGGTTCAGTATCGATTATATGCATATTTTATGCAGAAATATTGGTATTTTAAAATGCAAGATGGTTATGATTATTCTGTCTTCTATCATTCTAAAATATTTATTCACGCCAAACGAGACTTCACATTATGATATTCTTTTCAATATTGCTGATGGAGAGGTTATTTTGTGTTATCATTTATTGGTTTCTCTGTTTGGCCACCAATTTTAGGCACTAACGTTCAATTAATTTCATATGTCAAGGGCTATATGGCGTTTGGAATTTCAACAATGGACAATTACGGATACATTTGGGGCATTAAAATTCAACAGCGCGCACAATGGCACACAAATGCGCACGATAAATAGCCTAACCTTGATCAGAATATAAAATAACAGGTGCGCTGTTATAATTTACTACAGATATAACATAATTGAAAAGAAGGTGACAATTGAACTAAAGAAGTATGAATGTCCGATTTAAAATATACGTTTAGTTATGCGTTTGTTAGGCCTATTTACCTTTGACGACTGGTTATCGACAATGTCCAGAACGAAATGTTATAGGATTATGCGTGCACTTTTTCCAAAACCAAGATCACAATGAATTGACTTATTGTTTGGTAATAGCATATGTACAATTTCAAGATTCATGTAGGTTAAACTTACCTTAATTGTGAAACTTTAACGTCACATTAAATCCATCTTGGCAAGGTGTTATTTCAGCCAAGAGTATTCCGACTTCCACTTCTGGGCATCAGTGAAAATCCATGGGAAGGCAGCATTCTGCCCCGTGGCTTCCACTTATTAAAGTATGATACACCTGTTCTCCCATTACGCACAGTGGTATCTTGTGCACCAAAGTGGTGACGGTCATCACCACATATCTAACATTGATGTGTAATATGTCAAATAGGCAATAGGCTACAGTATATATTCTATTTTTCTTTAAAATACCTCAGATTACAATTAAAATTGTATAAATCATTTGTAGATCATTTTGAGTAACTGATGTATCCAAAAGTAGCCTACTGGCGCTGAATCAGTGACCAGAGCAAATGCGAAATCTGTTCTAGTAGGACTGACCCGCAAAGTAGAGTGCAGCCTGTTCAGCGCGCTGATGAGCGGTGCACTCACTGCTGCGTTCAGTGGAATTGGATGATGGGTGAGTGCGCGTTTGCTGCAGGTTTCGTCTCTACATGCAGATGGAGCTGCCGATCCGCTATGCTCTCGCCCCCTCCTCCTCCCTCCTCTCCCTCCTCTCCCCTCCTCACCAAACTCCCCCAATGTGCGTCAGTGTCCATCCGCCTGCGTGAAGGAAACTGCCATGCAGAGTTTCTCGCTCTGATATTTTCTAGGTGGGATATGTGCTCGTACTAATGACCTTAATGGAAACAGTTGGCTCAGTCACCAGACGGAGCATTTTCTCTGTTTATACTGGAGCTACAGCGCGACAGACTCTGCGCAACCAGAGTTTATAGTGAACCACTGGAGGACAAGCATCTTCTGAACTACCTCTATCAAAAGCGTCTGAGAAAGTTCCCCTTGTTCAATCACCTTCTTCCGCATGGGGCATGTATTTAACACTAGGTTAACTTAGTTCCCCCAAAAATTAATTCAGTCGGGGTCTCAAGTTACCATTGAGAGTAAGAATAGTATAATACAACCAGGTGCAATTCGAAATATGGTTGTGTATCAGCAGTTTTTCTCTTCTTATGTCAGTCACTGACAGGCACTCAGTTAGGGACATATCGACATTTAGTGAGTGGGAGGGGTGGTCCAAAATAGTGGAGGGTTGTCAAACTTTTTTTGCTTTGGGGAGGGTTGTGTGGTTTTTTATTTGGCACAGGGTAGGGTAGTACGTTTTTCCATAGTTTACATTCGCCCTTCTGCTCATATTTTCCCTATAAACAATGGCTTGACTTACTTTTGGTATTACCCTAATAAAGTTTAGAAACCTTTGAAGGTTTGGTATGGTGTGGCTATTACTAAGCTTTAGCTACTGCAGGCCTATGATATGAAGGCAGTGCGCCACGGCACTCCAACTGACTCTGACAGTTGAACATGAGGTGAGGAAAACTGGTTCAGGCCTACCAGAGTTACTCCTATAATCTAACAATATCATGCTTATCTTTATACAAAATATTCGTATTGAAAATGTACGAATTACCTCCTTCAGTACGTCTATATCTGTATAGCAGACGCAGTAGCCATCTGACATGAAGAAATGCATGTCGGTATCGTAGCATGCCACCGGCATATCTCTACATCTCTATCTCTCTGGGGTTAGGCCTAAGCTTATCATCCTTTACATAGGCTATTAAAAATATAAATGCAACATGCAACAATTTCAAAGATTTTACTGAGTTACAGTTCATATTAGGTAATCAGTCAATTGAAATACATTCATTAGGCCCTAATCTAGAGATTTCACATGACGGAATACAGATATGCATCTGTTGGTCACAGATACCTTTAAAAAAAAAAAGTAGGGCCGTGGATCAGTATCTGGTTTGACCACCATTTGCCTCATGCAGCGCGACACATCTCCTTCGCTTAGAGTTGATCAGGCTGTTGATTGTGGCCTGTGAAATGTTGTCCCACTCCTCTTTCATGGCTGTGCGAAGTTGCTGGATATTGGCGGGAACTGGAACACTCTGTCATACACGTCGATCCAGAGCATCCCAAACATTCTCAATGGGTGACATGTCTGGTGAGTATACAGGCCATGGAAGAACTGGGACATTTTCAGCTTCCAGGAATTGTGTACAGATCCTTGCGACATGGATTTGTACATTATCATGCTGAAACATGAGGTGATGGCGGCAGATGAATGGCACGACAATGGGCCTCAGGATCTTGTCACGGTATCTCAGTGCACCTGTGTAATGATCATGCTGTTTATTCAGCTTCTTGATATGCCACACCTGTCAGGTGGATGGATTATCTTGGCAAAGGCGAAATGCTCAGTAACGGTGATGTAAACAAATTTGTGCACAACATTTTCGAGAAATAAGCTTTTTGTGCGTATGGAACATTTCTGGGAAATGTTATTTCAGCTCATGAAACATGGGACCAATACTCTACATGTTGCATTTATATTTTTGTTCAGGGCGTTTATATTTGTATATCAGGGCTGCCCAACCCTCTTCCTGGAGATCTACCGTCCTGTGGGTTTTCAATCCAATCCTAATTTAACACACCTGATTCTACTTATTAGCTGCTCAACAAGACCTTAACTAGCTGAATCAGATATGCTAAATTAGGGTTGGGCAGCCCTGCTGTATATATTTAGCTATTTTTTATGAAGGTCAAAACTATTTGTCTCTTTTCGTTTGTGAGTTCTTTGCCTTTCGCCATGGTGATGGATGTCAAATGGATTTTACATGCGTGTAACAACAGTTTTAGACCCCAGTGAAACAGGAAGCCATGGAAGGCCACAATACAGTTCCTTAAGATGAGATGATCTTAAAAATGTAGGATGTTAATGCAGATTTAATTTTGTTTGATTTTATTTATAAGAATCTTTAGGGGTGCCAAGAATTTTGACACCTATCCTATAGAGATGTTTTTGTATTACTTGTTAAAAAAAATATTTCTCTCTGACCAATTGTATTATTATAAAATAATATATTTTCCCCCATTTTTTTTGAGCATACAATATAGCTCAGTATTTGTAATATTTATTTTATTGTCTTTTTTGCTCATCTTTATGAAGGGTGCCAATAATTTTGAAGGTGACTGTATGTCTGAATTCAATTAAATTGGTTCTGGAAAACATTACAAGAAAGTTCTGCTAATGTTCATGGAGACATCATCCAGAACACCCAAAACAACATGTGACGTTATGACATGATTGTTCCAAACATGTCATCTGAACATACAGTACACTGAGTGTACAAAACATTAAGAACACCTTCCTAATATTGTGTTGCACCCCCTTATTTTCCCCTCAGAATAGCCTCAATTCTTCGGGGCATGGACTCTACAAGGTGTCGAAAGCATTCCACAGGGATTGTGGCCCATGTTGACTCCAATGCTTCCCACAGTTGTGTCAAGTTGGCTGGAAGTCCTTTGGGTGGTGGACCATTCTTGATACACACAGGAAACTGTTGAGCATGAAAAACCCAGCAGCATTGCAGTTCTTGACACACTCAAACCGGTGTGCCTGGCACCTACTACCATACCCCGTTCAAAGGCACTTCAATCTTTTGTCTTGCCCATTCACCCTCTGAAAGGCACACATATACAATCCATTGTCTCAAGGTTTAAAAATCCTTCTTTAACCTGTCGCCTCCCCTTCATCTACACTGATTGAAGTGGATTTAACAAGTGACATCAATAAGGGATCATAGCTTTCACCTGGATTCACCTGGTCAGTCTATGTCATGGAAAGAACAGGTATTCCTCATGTTTTGTACACTCAGTGTATATGGAAGTAGTTTAGTGCAAAATATGGGTTAAAAAAATATACAATTTCATGATCTTTCGTATGTCTCTCAGATATCGGACAGACACGTTAAAACAAACGTATATTTGACTATCTGTCTGTTTTTCCATGTATGAATCGGTTATTCAGTGCGTTTCTATGGGCGAATAGCAGTAAGGCCAAATATAATCTGTTAACATTCTTGCATTCTTGTATAATCATTCTTGATGATTAGACAATACCAACATTGTATAATTAAGCAATAAGGCACGAGGGGGTGTGGTACACGGCTAAGGGCTGTTCTTATGCACGACGTAAAGCGGAGTGCCTGGATACAGCCCTTAGCCGTGGTATATTGGCCATATATCACAAACCCCCGAGGTGCCTTATTGCTATGATAAACTGGTTACCAATGTAATTAGAGCAGTAAAAATAAATGTTTTGTCATACCCATGGTATACGGTCTGATTTACCACGGCTGTCAGCCAATCAGCATTCAGGGTTCGAACCA